ACTAGATGATCTCCAAGGTTCCTTCCAACACGGTTAATCTGTTATACCTGAGGGTTTTGGTCCGCGTCGAAGGGGTCGTCGAGATACTTATCGAAGCCTTTGTCCAGGAGCCCCGCGGCGCCATCGGCGATGCGGGCTCCGCGAGCGGATAGTTCTCCCTGACCGGGTACTTCGCCGCCACCGCCGCTTGGCAAGCCTCCTCTGAAATCGGTCATCCTGAGGCGGGGAAAGGCGACGGGCTCGCCGACCGGCTTGAGGCTCACGGGCGAAAGGAAGGAGACAGTGACGGCGATGACACGTAAAGAAAGCAGCGACTCCACCCCAGAAGCGGTGACGGTTCGTCTCAGGCTGAACGCCGTTTTGAATGGCCGAGCCGGGTTTCTTTCCCGCCCACTGGGCGTGACCGAAGCTTCCGATTGGCCCTCCCCCTCGCCTCTCGGCTTCGCTTGGCGGGGTTGGAGTGGCGTGTCTTGTCACTTTTTGTCCGTCCTAATGTGGAGACGCAGGGAGATGCTACGCGACGGAACGGGTTCTTTCCCGGCTTGTCCCTTCTGTTGAAGCTCCTTCCTAATCTTTAAAAAAAAGCAATCTCCACCACCTTCACCACCAGTAAAATAACTTCGTGGAAACCAGGTGCTTTTGAAATGGATTGATCCACTTTGCACAGCTTGAAGTCACATTTCGAGCATCTGGTTGCATGTATTGTCAGATGCGAAACCTTGAGCTGGCAGGAAAGGATAAATAGACATCATATATACATTTACTTTCAAGAGGATGGGATTAGGTATATTTTCTGGTGTTTCTAAATTCTTCATTTATATTAAGAATTGTCAGTGGCAAAAGAATGTCTGGAAGGTAAGGAAAAGATAAACAAGCATCAGAATACCTGGAATCCCAATCTTCTTGTAGGTTTGAGAAGGAGGTAGCTTAATCAAGAACAAATATCATTGACTGAAACATAATTAATTGTACTTTACAATTAATGGTTAAGTAGAGGATTGCATTCTTGCTTTGTAAAACATAGGTTATTATATTTTATTTTTTTCCCAGAAAAAAATTAGACACTTTTGCACTGTACAAGGACCTATTCCCTCAATGTTCAGTAACTGTATTTTAAGCAAGTTGGAATGAGCATGGAAACTTAATATTGATGGGACTATAAGTGTCAGCTTCTGAACCTTATTAAAAATATACTAGATTGCAACTATTCTTAGAAAGAATGGTTTAATGGGAAATTTACATAGGCATGCAATTTTGAATCCAGCATGCATGCAATTTTATATTACATTATAACACTTCATTGATGCTATCTATTTTGTGTTTTTATACTACTGTATTACATATTCATGGAAACAGTTACATAACAGCACACTTACATAATGATATTTTAAACAAATCAAAATTGCATTATTGCCTGATTTTATCATTATTAGAACAAACTAGGTAATAATTATTGATAGTTCCAAATATTCCATGAGCAGCGTTATTGAATCACTAGGCCATATAAAGCAATTTTATTGAATCACATCTAAAGTTTCTTAAGTTCAGCCAACACTAATCCTTTCCAGTTTGAGCTAGTTGACTTGGTTTTGGAAACTGGCCAAGCTCAACACAGCTAGTGTAAACAGATATCTATCTATCTTGCATGATGTTCATTAGTTACATAACTGACTAGGAAAAATAATTCCCATAGGAGTAGGGAAAGTATACTTAGCCTTCTGTCCTTGAAGAATACTAGGTTAGGAGTGATAAGAAAACTCAGACAGACATGAAAATAGGGAACAATATAGAATAAAATAAGTGGAATTATTTGCAGTGAATAATTTTTTATAGCCAATTAAAATTTTTCAAGACTTGCTCTTATTTGCTACTGAATAAAAAAGTGGTTTATAGCTTAGATTAGATATCTCAAAGGTGCTTTTTTCAGAAAGCAATTGGATTGGAAGAATTAGTTCTGTCCTTTTGAAGAAAAGTATCTTTGAGACAACTATGAGCTGGATCACTGACAATTTCCAGATATTTAGATTACAGACTTCAATATAATCTGATCAGAGAAGCAGATTAGTCTGAAATCTAAAATCCTTTAAGAACTACTGAACTAGAGAACAAAAAGTCCATCTTTCTATGGAATTGAATTTGCATGCTTTCTAGCAATAAGGAGTTTCAATTTAACCAGCAAATCAGCTAAATATCTAACAATCTGATGTCATTGCAAAATATCCACCAACTATAACCTTAAAAGCATTAAGACTATTACTTGGTAAGTTTAAAAATATATATGCAGTTACTATGATTTTTGTTTTGTCTTAAAAAACATTTATTACATGGTCTTCCAGTATGAGTCATGCTTGACTGAAGACATTTGTAATGAGCAGAGACAATGATTGCAGTGAAGAACCAGCAAGTAGACAGGTCCTTCGAATTTCTTCAGAAAAGGAGAGATCAGAAGATCATCCATGAGTACTGATCCTGCAGGAGCCATGGGAGACATTTTTTTTATCTCAGCAGTGGCTAAGCCTTTCATAAGGATGCTAGCTCTACACTCGTGCTTCGCTAAGGAATTATGTGTCAGGCTTAGGTTTTTGAGAGGAAATAAGGAAAAGAAAATGTTATCTCTACCTTCCAGTATCCATCGGTATTCACCTGACTAGCATCCTGTCAGTGTGTGAGAGTTGAGGGCTGTTTGGAAACTGAAACAGTATTGCTGTGTGAGCAAGGAGACAGCTTAGCTCAACTATTCTGTACTAAAGCTACTTGGTGCTCTGAAACTGAAACTCCTCTGCTTGTGTTTTGCATTTGGAACAGATTTCTTTTCATGTGGGGAGGGAGAGTAGAACTCTTTAGCATCAGAGCGTGTTAATAATAATATAGGAAATACTAATACACTGATGGTCATTTTGAAAAATCCTTTCTTAGTGAGCACCTAGAAGTCAAGAGGAACATAAGTGCCAAATTTCAAGTTTGTAGGCTTTATGGTTCTTGAGATGTTGTGATGGTGGCCTGAGTAGTATTTCGCTTTTATATATATAGATTAAGCAGCCACTTAATTCCTAATTACATTCAGAAATGTTTAATCACTTTATGGATATTAGAGATCTTCAAAACATCTTAAGCTTCTAAAATATAAAAAATTAAAAGTAGATTTAAGCATTAATAGTAATACACACTATATAATAATACACAATTGCAAAAAGCATTTTTTTATTTTAAAAAAATGTTAAGAGATTGGAGACCAGAAAAAAAAATGCAGTTTTAGCTATTTTGTATTAAAATTTGAAAAATGAATATAAAATTAAATAATATACTTGAGGGAACTAACTGAAATGGAACTAAACCCATATTACTGAGACTTGAGAAAGTTTACAGATGAAAACTAGAGGGAATTAAACATTCAGGCAGTTAAAATGACTAATTTGGAAATAATATTTTCTTTAACTGAAACAATTTATTGAAATATGAATCTTGGAAATGGTAAAGATTTTAACTGATAAACTTTTAGGAAATGACAAAAACTTTAAAAAAATTATCTGACAGTGTTTGAAGGCATGGAAAACAAATCAAGAAAAAGATCTGAATATAGAATAGCTGTGACAAGAAATAATAAACTAATTTTTGAGAAAAATTAATGGCTAGCATGGAAAGGTTATTCATGGTCAGTTGGATAGGTCAACTGAGAAGAGCATAGGCCATTAGATCAGTGAAAGGATAGGCTAGCATGTCAGCGTCTACTGACTGAAACAAATACTGAGAAACTGAATTTAGGGTTTGTCCTATCACATGAGCAGTGTGTGAGATACAGGGATTTAGTCATAGAATGCTGACCTCCTGGTTACATCGGATACAGACGCTGTTGTGCATAAATAATTGGCTCCATGCTTGAAATAAGATACTGACTCAAATTTACATCCTGTGAAGGTTCAGTGTCAAAAGTAATGCTGATACCACTAGCATTCTTTGGGAAATTTTCTGAAAGCTAAATATAACGTGTGTATATTTTGATGAAGATTTGTGAAATAAAAACCAAATAGTTTTTAAAACTTTATTAACGATTAAGAATTTACAATATTGCAGAGTATACATAGAAGCATTTAATTTTATTTAATTATATTATCTAGAAACATGAAACTGGGTAGTAGAAAATTACTATGCATTGTTGTTTGAACTAAATTATAGGTAAATAATCTTACGTATTTACTTTGTGGCAGACAGCTTTTTCATATAGATATATTGAAATCCTTTCCTGTTGTCTACAGCCTTACTATTACTTATTTGGCTATAGCTAATTAAAAAAACCCTATTAATTTTTTATGTTTGAAGGTGCCCTTTAGATTGTAATAAATCACATCCTTGCATGGAGACACAGGGGACCATGCAACTGTGCAGCTAGCTGACCCCATAAGAAGTCTTCCCACTGTTTTTGAAATTTTTGATAATTTTTTTGAAATTTTATGTGATGTAATTTTAAGCATTTTAAAACTTAAATTAATTTTAACATTTAATGTTAATTTATGCTGTATATATATTACATTGACTACATTGTACACTGCCCAGAACAGGGGGATTTTTTTCATGGAGTTCATTTGTATCTGTGCTTTCATGTATCATTTTCCAAGTTCCCTTATCCCTGTTTACCTTGTTCTTCCTTTAAATCAGTGGTTTTAAACTCGATTTCATTGAGGGCCGCATCAGGGTTGTGTTTGACCTTGGGGGGCTGGAGTGGGAGTGGCCAGGTTGGGTGTGTCCAGCTTGATGTCACTCGTGTCGGGGGCACTGGTGGTGGCCCGAGCAGTCTGCTTGGCTCCCAAGCTCTGTTTTCAGCTGCAACGGCTTCCTGAAACCCTCTGCCAGTGAAAATGGAGCTTGCATGTGGCCCTCCCAAGCTCCATTTTCACTGGCAGAGGCACCGTGGGCCAGTTCTTCACTGTTTCCAGGATGGTCCCATGGTCCAGATCTAAGCACCCTGTGGGCTGCATCCAGCCCGCGGGCCTTGAGTTTGACATCCCTGCTTTAGATTTTCAAACTACATTAAGAATATGTTATCACTTTGCTTCGATTCATTCCAATATGTTTTCTTCAGATTTTCTTCTCCAGTTAATCTGGGCTACCAACATAGTGTAACTGCTTTCATTCAAAGAGGCTGATACATTTGATACATACTAATTATTCCCTGATGGGAGCATTAAATTTATTTTCATTTTAAAAATAAAATTGCCAGCAAGTTCTGTTGGATGCCTCACTCTTAGATGCCTCAGTTTTTCAGCAGATATTGGAATATGAAGATTTCTATTACAATCATTTGCCCTCACCCTCTATAAAATAGGGTGAGTTGATTTAGAAAGCTATTGCTTAGAATATTTTTTAAAATATTGATATTAAGCTTTCACTTTTCTTTAAAAGCAATAAGTTATTCAAAGCAGACTGGCAGTTGTTAAATTGCTGAATTTATTTCTGAAAGAGCAAGAGACTAAATAACAAGAATGCTAATCCCCTCAAGAAAAAAAAGTGAATACAAAATAAAGGTAATATCTCAAAAGGTTTTAATATAGTTTTCAGTAAAACATACCTTGAAAATTAAAATGATGCAAAATAATCATGAAATAATTAGTTAAATGTCCTTATCATATTAATAGTAACAGACTATTGATAGGTAAAATTTAACATAAACAAATGTTTTTGCAATATTAATAGTAACATCGACTATTCATAGATACAATTTAGCAAATAAACACTTTGCTAGAAAATTATTAGTAAACATGATTACTACTTCTTTAACAGAAGTTAAGCTAATGTTACTTTTTGTCCTGGTTTGACAATTGCTCCACTGGATTCTTTTCTCTTTGGATTTTGAAAATTTTCATAGCTTGAAAAAGAATGAAAAGAAAAGAAAGAAAACAGGAGCATATTAATACCAAGAAAATGTCGTATGAGGCAGTAGTGGGATTTAAAAATTTTTACTACCGGTTCTGTGGGCGTGGCTTGGTGGTCGTGGCAGGGGAAGGATACTGTAAAATCTCCAGTCAGAGGTGGTATTTGCTGGTTCTCTGAATTACTCCAAATTTCTGCTACCGGTTCTCCAGAACTGGTCAGTACTGCTGAATACCACCTCTGGTATGAGATAAATATTCAGGTTAAACCCATTCCAAGGAAATTTTTTAATAATTAATTTAGCATAATTTTTTGAAAGTCATAGAAATGTTTCTACTATTTTTTTCCAGCCTCTACTGAAAAAAAAACAGAATAGATTTAAAATACTTAATTATAGTTAATATTAAAATATAAATAATTAATAAAAATTTGAATAATAATCAAAATTATTGTATGTTACAAAGAAAATGGCTGATATTTTAAAAGCTAGAATATTATATAAATGGTTCCCGTCCTATGATTGGAAATTCCGGCAGATTTCCCTAAGACTATCTATAACCCATACTCAAAGTTCTGATGGTCCCTGTAGTAATATTGTCATATTTTGGGTACATGGCAAGTGGCCCACATTTGAGGACTACCTGTATGATAGTGATACAATGATCTGTCATTGCTAAATTGAAGCTTTGAATGAAAGGGACCAAGGCCCTACTCAAAGGAATAGGAGAAGCAGAGTCTGGGTCCAAGCTTGTCTATGGTTTTACTCATAATCCCAGCTTCAACGGCAGGGGTGGGTTTCGACCGGTTCTGTCCACCTCTGTAGAACCGGTAGCTCTGAAGAGCAGCAGGCATAGAACCGGTTCTATGTCTGCTGATGTTTTTGCCCATCCGCCCACCCAGGCTGTTACCTAATCTTTATTTCCTGATTTTTCAACTTCAGCTGCCGAACGAGGCACAAGTGCAGGTAAAAAAGCAGGAAAAGAGGGCTGTTTCAAAGGCTGCTTCTCTGCATGCAGCATGCTGATGACAATTTACAGGCGCATGCAGCGTGCAGCGAAGCACATCATAAATTACCGAACCTTGTAAATCCCGAACTGGTAGTTAACCCTGTCATATCCCACCCCTGTTCAAAGGGGATTCAAAAGAGTCCAGAACTGAAGAAGATAAGCTGCCTATGTGAAATCATTAATATTTAAGAGCCCATCTGAGCAGTGGTTTGCCTCTCATAGGAGTGCTGAGCTTATGCAGAGTATCAATCAGAACATTCCAGCATTCAGAGTTACTACTATACAGGCACTAAGCAACTAAGCAGCTGATTATTAAGGCACATAACATGAAGAATGAGTTACTGAATAGTCTGCTTTGATTTTTTTATGCATGTAAAGAACTATTAAGATGGACCTGTAGAGTGAGAAAAACTTAATTTTAAGATTAATTTTAACTTTGGGAAGGAAGGAAGAAATACAAACCTTCTCTGCTTTAATTCTCTTTAGCTTTCAAGATTGTGTTACTATAACTTACGTTAATAAAGAACAGAGCATTCTGTGAAGATTGTTCCCTGATCTGCTGTACCTGTCATATTCTGATATTACAGAGAAATAATCAGCAAGCTGTCTTCTCACTTGATGGGTTTTCCAGGATTTCAGTATAATTGAAATCCTGACATGGGATTGGCTCCTAGCAGACAGCATATGGTCAGTTACATGGAATATCTTAATGGAATAGCTAGATACCCTGCTACTGATTTGGAGACAGGGCAATTTAATTTCTGCTTAAAGGATTCTGACATAGAAAGGGACTGTCATATATGAACATATTATTCATATTTTGTATATCTTGGTAGGTAATAAAGGATCAATAATATCCTACAGTAAGATAGAGTAAGTTTATCAGTCAAGTAATGGAAGTGCAACACATCTGATGATCCTCCAATTCTATGCATGATATCTATCTTATCTAATCCTAAAGTACCCACCAGTGCCCTGGAAAGCAAAGCCAACAGATTTAAGGAAAACATAACACCGGAGAATAAAAAGCAGCAGCAAAGAAGAAAGTGGAAGAAAGCAATTTTGGAGACAGCTTACTGAATAATTGGTGGAGTAAACTGCAGAATCAAAATGAACAAGTTACTGGTTTGGAAGTTTTCACGTGATAGGAAGTGGTGACAAAGTTATTGGTATCAACTGGTTAGAGGAAGATAAGACTATTAGGGACAAAGCCTGCAAATACCCACTGGGATGGTGCCATCTTTAAGAATAAAGGACCTGTTATGCATCCATTGAAGAAAACAACATTTCACAGATGCAGATAGTAGAAGACTTAACAGAACCAATGCAAATTACAGAAAATAGTAATCAAGAGCAGTTGATATCCAGTTTTGGGGGCTATGATAACACTACTAGTCAAAAACTTTGAAAGGCTATCACCAGAAGAAAGCCAAGTCCTGTTCTCTGCATCTCCTCACCCGCAAGAGTACAGGAATAATATGTTTAAACTATAGGGAAGCAGATTCAATTTGAGTCTTAGTGGGAAGCAGATTCAATTTGAATCTTAATGGCAAGAGTAGAATGTAACCAAAAGCTTAGACTGGTAAAAGACTTCTGTTCTCTAGATTGACCCAGAACATAGATAGGCATACTCCCTGGACGCTTCAACTGGATTCCTGTACTAAGCAGGGGACTAGACCTCATAGATTAAATGGACTTTTCAGTTGTATAGACTCGAGTTTCACAGAATCAAAATGTTTACAGCTCAGATATCTGTAGATCCTTTCCCTAGTACCAATAGCATTTATAGGGGTGTGTGGGCAGACCACCAAGCCACACCCACCAACTCAGCCACACCCACAGAACCAGTTGTTGGCTGGGTGTGACCAACTCAATATCACTCACACTGAGGCACGCATTCCTCGTCTGGCTTTTCATGACTGTGGGAAGAATGCTGCAATATCGTAAGTGTGAAAAACAGTCATAAGTCACTTTTTTCAGTGCCATTGTAACTTTGAATGGTCACTCCACACAAACAAAGTACCAGCAAAGGAGGGGAACAATAACTCCAGAGAAGTTCTGAGACAGGAAGTCTAGTCCTGCCAAGAATGTAATAAGGGTTAACAGAGAGGCAGTTTCTGTAAGCAATACCAGAATGTTTCCTTCCTGTCTTCCTTACAGGACTCGGCCAGTAATTTCTTCTAACAACCAGTTCTCTGAACTGCTTAGAGTGTTAACAACTGGTTCTAGTGAATAGGTGCGAACTTGTAGTATCCCACCCCTGGTTAAGATACATTGACAGTGCTATACAATCAGAACCACGAACCAAACAAGTATTGGTATCAGAACAAACAAAAGTTTTCAAATGAACAATAGTTAACAAGGCATAAAAGGCTGTGTGATATCTGGTCATTAATACAGTGCCATTAGACTAGAGCACTCCCTAGTCAATTCTGGAGGCCCTAAGCAAAAAGATGAAATACAAAGTCCACGTTTAATAAAAAAAGAAAAAAATCCCAAGGGCAAAAATAAAGCAATGCAAGTTGTGGAATATAGCCAAAGATGACTGATGGTACAGATCATCTTAATGACAAATCTTAAGAAAGAAAACATTCTTTGTAGTTCTGGTACTCTGAGAGTAAAAGAGAACACAATGAGAACATCTTTTCAATAGGTACACAGGAGAAACTAATAGGAAGATTGCTCCCGTGCCTAGTTCCTTTGAAACATCCTAATCAAATGTTGCACAAAACACAAAATCTATATGTATAATAAACAGTGATCATAGGGAAATTAATCTGTGCCACCATATAATCAATTTTACAGAATGAAAAGCTGCACCTCTCATAGGTGTATGTCCTTGCATGTTATGTACTGTATATGACTGTATGCATGTTTTTTCTATGAATTTTAAGATCCTTAAATATGTTTCTGATATTTTTGAAATAAACTAAATTAACTAGTTTTCCAGAATTTTTATAGACAACATTAAAAAGAATAGTTCATATATTCCTCAGATACTTACAGCTCAGCAAACCTCTTCCAGTTTTCTTGACTAATGGAAGGCTTTGTATTTTCAAGAGCAGCCATTAAATGAATCTGAGTAATATTTAAAGTTCTCTTGGTTATTGATGACATGCAGGTAGTGCCTTCCTCCTGGAAAATAAGGAAAAATATTTTAAAGTGTCAAAAATGTAAAATTTAAACATATTTTAAAGGACTACATTTTTAAATCTCTGATAATGATAGCTGAGCTTGGAGATTCTACTAAACATGGTTTTAAGACGGAGTATGGTATATTTTCCAAATTTTATAGTCAAATCCAGATTTATAGCAAACTCCTAAACATTTTATCCTACCATAGTGGGATACCAAATGGTAGGCAAACTCCTACCATTTTATCCTACCATCACTACCATAGTGATAATAAAAATGACACTAAATGATCTTGTAATGATTCAGTAGCAGTACAATCAAGGCATCTGCAGCCGAACTATAATTTCCTTCTTCTTTTAGCATTATCTAAGAAATGCCCAGCCTTTAAAAATATATTTTTCAATTATCAGCACCATTTCACTGATGGAGTCACTCCCATTTTCAGTTGGCACTAGAAAGATATAGATAATTATACTTGGATTTTATAGTTACAGAAAAAAACAACATTCTTTTTAAACTGTGGAGATAAGCATGTTAGATATATTATATTTGGGAAATTGGCTAGGAATTGAAAATACACCCTAAAAGAATATCTCATCATTACACAGATACTCAGTTGGAGTATCACTTGCCTCTGAATATCTACAAGAAATATCTACTGGATATCTACTTATTCAGAGGCAAGTGATACTCCAACTGATAATTCAATCTTACTTTAATAAGGTAATCTGGTTGGATATTTTTGAAAGGAAGTGGGAAATGTGTAATTTTGTTCTTTGTCATAGGCTAAAAATATCTTGGATCATTAGCCTAGATGAGAGTTAAATATTAAAAATAATAATCAATGAATAGTTGTTCTTTGAATATCTGTGTACTTTTGTCATTTTAGCTTTTACACTAAGAACCAATTTAAAAACTAGGACAGATGGAAAACATGGGCTAAAGTAAAGTTGTAAGACCAGGTGAAATGGGCAGCTGAGGTGAGATTACACAATACTCCCTCCAAACATTTCTGAGAATTCTTTGACATGATGACCTGGTATTATGACAGGCTAGTTGTTGACAAACCACATAGTTATGAAGTAACTCCTGCGCAATAGCCAGCTTGCCCATCTTTTCAAATTAGTGTTGCCAATCCTGGAGAAAATATATGCTTGTGATACATTGGCACATGTATACATAATATGTGTGTGTGTGTGTATATATATATCTGCCAAGAGCTACCCTTATCTCCTTTCCCAAAAGTAGGGTGAATACAAAAAAATACTAATTAAAATTAAAAAGGAATTCTTAGAGTCGATGACAATTCTTTGTGAATTCATAAATACTCCATGTTTTTCCTTGGCAACAATGAAATAACATGGAATAAATGTGAAATTCCCAATATCTGATTCAGTTATTAACCAGATACAATTTTGCATAGTTGTCAGTGTCAGCTAGGTGATGTCAGTTAATTAAAATATTAATTTTCTCTCTTCATTCTCATATAGCAGTACAAATACACACATATTCCTCTTCCTCATTTCAGCAGAGATAAAGAAAAGAAACCTGGATTGATATAGGACATATAGAAAGATGTTGTACAGGGAAAGAAAAAGTACTGAAGAAAAACAAAGGTACAAATAATTTGATCCAGAAGAAAAGAAAAAAAAAGTCACATTTACCAAAAGGCAGACAATTCCTCCTCCCAATTTTGCAACGTTGTGCAACAGCCTTTTCTGTTCTAATTCCTATTGGGTCAGTACAGTACAGTAATTTGAATCTTATGAGTAATAAATGCTCAATCATAAATGCTTGTTTTAATGTCTGAATTAAGACAACATGTTTATAAATGGAAGCTGTGAAAACAATAGTTTAGGCCATGGTTTTGCTGTAATTTGCAGACTCTAAGTTAGTAACACCATATCAAAAAATACTACTCTGAGAAGAAAATTATAGTTTTTCCCGTACTCCATTCATGCTTTTGTAGTTTGCTTTTATGGCACTGATTTCTGCTCTGAGTTGTTCTATTTGTTCTTGATTACATTCTTGGAAACCTTCCTGTAAAGTTGTTCTTAAGGTTAAGGCTGGAGGCTGAGAAGATACTAAATCCTTCAGAGTTATGCTGGTTAATTCATGGTTTATGGAGTTTGATCCTGAAAAACACTGAGAACTCTATGGAGAGAAGAAGGAGAAACATAAAAAGAGTTAACAATTCACTTAAATTATTAATATCTCAATAAAAGTTTTACCATAATGAATATTCAATAAGATAAGTTTCAGGGAATGTTTTATCCAACTACTAATTTTAAGCAAAATAATTAAAACATAAATATGTATATTTAAATTACTTTGCAGGAAATAGTTAAGGAAGAAATGTAAATCTTGAACGTTTAGTGCCTGAATGTTCTATTTTCCAAAACATTCCATTCTTTTCCCAGAGTGTACTAATCTGGCCATTCTGACGTTAGGCTTGTCTCATTCCAGGATGAATCTTCTAGAAGAGGTTTGCAATGTTCTGATGTGGCTTGGCACTAGAATACTACAGACCCCCTCCTATTACTGAAAAGTAGTGAAAGAAAAGACCCAGGATCAGCTGAACTTGCATATTGTAGGATAGGAAACAGGAACACTCTGAGATTGGATAATTTGAGCATAATCAGAAATATCACGGAATGGGTTAGGACAAAAAGAATAGGGAAAACAGGGAAGAAAAGAAGAAACAACTCACTTTCTTAATTTCTCACCACTTTGCACAAAAGATAAAGCAGCTGTTGTTGGTCAAACAGAACAACTTACAGTTATTTCTTCCATGAAAAGAAATAAAAGTGTTGGATAGAACTATGGGATGGTTAGAAAAGACTGTTGATCAAGATTTTTAAAATTATTTAAAAGTCTATAATGAAATGTATTTGTATTAGTATCTTTGCATTTAAAGGTGTTAATATTATTAATGGGGATCATAATATCACATTATCTACTAGTTTGGAATAAATTTGTATCATATGCATAATGGTATCCACATTTTTATCACAGTTTTGTATAGATTTTTTTCCCCCTATTTTTGTTGTGTAGCACAAGCATCTAGGAAAAGATCAATCCTAATTTTATTTCAGTGGTCATCAACCTGTCTGGTTCTATAGATGAGCAGTGGCAATGTTGGTGAGGAAGGGAGGGTTTGTGCACATGCCTGCCACTTGTGCAAATGGAGTTCCGCATGCTCACCCGCTGTTTCCATGGCCCGATTCCCAGCAGGCCACGGCCTGGGGGATGGGGACCCCTGTATGTTCTATATCTGAACCACTGTTCTATGTTACAGCATTATTCAGCCAATGATTCAGGAAACAGTTTTCTTTTTTGAAATGAAGTAGAAGCAAAAGAAGCTAAAGGGAAAAAGTGCAAATACAAAAAGGTCCATTGATTTTTAAAGTATGCATCAATGCAAAGTATCCCATCAATGCAAAATGTTGAGTGGAATACAAAATTCTTTGAACAAGTACCAATCCAGAGAAGCAAACTCAAATTTCCTTTTGCTGATTTTATATGTATGGAATTATTTTTATTTATTTTACCACTCCAGAAAAGAAATCTGAATTTTAAAAAATCAATGGTATGATTTTTAAATCACTGGGGAAACAGGAAATTAAGCAAAGTGGAAAAGTTTACCATTTCTGAAGCAGTTCCATTGCCAAGTTCAGATTCATAGGAACTGCCAAAGTAAAGACGGTAGATGTTAGATCTTGGGTCCTCAGGAAGCAGGTCACACAGCTCAAGGGAAGTTAATGATTGCTCCAAGCCTCCTTCTCCATCTCTGGCAGAATCATCTGATCCACTACTTTGGTTTAAGAAAACCATTGAAGATAGACTAAGATCACTATCTGAGCTGGAACCTACCTCCTAAGGAGAAAATAAATAAAATTAGAATCTCTTAAAATATATGATCTCCTCCCCAAGAAATGATGGTCTACTCCCTCCCTTCTAGGCTTTGGACTAAGGTGATAAAATATTCTATCTACCTACCTATCCACCATCCACCCATCCATCCATCCATCCATCACATATATATAGCCACTTATCTGATACCAAATGCAGGTACCTCCCAACTAAGAATTAAATCAATATCCATAATAAATCATAAAAATCATATGAATTTCTTTTTGGTTCAAAATGTTTGCTTATCGAAGCAACTTACTCGGAATCAAGAACTTGGATAAGCAGCTAAACATTTCAAAGCAACAAGAAAGGAAATGTTTAATAGATAAGCTGGCAAGATGCATATTTGCATATTTGAAATGACTAACGAAAGAAAGCGTTAAAATCAAGGAATCCTGTTGTTAAATAAAATAAATAAAAGAACAGAAAAATACATCAGTAAAAAAGCATATATTCACCATATAATATGTAATCAGCAGTATATTCTATATAATGACCCAAACCCCAAACCTCCATTGGCCATCTTGCCTGTTTTGAATTCCTTGTGGACACTACTGTATGTGGTCAACCCCAGAAAGGAAGGAAAATATATCTCAATCAAAGAATACAATCACATTGCATTATCATTGAAAAGTTTTACGTTTTGCTGCAGAATAATAAATTCTACAACTTTACAGCCAGCATATTTTCAGAGCTTTAAGTGTTGGAACAATATTCAATACCAAAATAGATATGACCAAAGCTTTTAAATCATTGGAATTTCATAGAAATGTGGATGAAATTTGTTTTTCAAAGCCAAAAGTTTATAATATTCACCTCAACTTCATAACTATTTTACAGTGCAGTCAAAATAATATTTTGGAAATATTAAGAATGTAAAATATGTTCTTAAGTAAGATATTTTAAACGCTCCAGCTACTAACTATCTGAGATTTTCCCAACCATTGCCTCATTTTAGAAATTACAAACCAAACGCTAAGGAAATTCTTTTACATTTCAGTATACTTACGTGGGGCAAAGTTGAGTTCAAGTTAGCATGCACTGCTTCTAATTGGGCATTGTATAATAAAGCTTTTAAATCTGCCCCAGTGAAATGCTCAGTTTTTGCTGCCAAATACTGAAAATCCACATCATGTTCCAAAGGGAGAGAATGACTCAGAGCTTTTAAAATCTCATATCGGGACACCTTTAGAAAATTATAAGAAACTTTGTTATTAAAAGAATGGATTCTTATCCTTAGAAACTCTTTGTCAACCAGGAAAGGGGACTCTGCTGAAATGAAGGTAGCACACAGAAAGATATAGGAAATAAATGACCTATTCTGTAGAGTAAATACATTTCCATTATTTTTTCTCAACTGAAAGCTTACCTAGATCTAAATAAAAATGATTAATCTTTATCTTTAAAATTCTGAAAAAATATAACATTCTCTCTGATGACTACATCCCCAATGTCATTTACAGAAATAAAACATTTAGTGAATGAAATTAAATATCATGTCTTTTTATTCACAAACAGATATGCTACTGCAGCCTTTCAGTTTATGTCAATACTGTCCTATGATACATTGCATTAAAGATGATAGGTAAGAATATTTGTACAGTACTGTTATTTTTAAACACACTATAGGATAAAAGAACACACCATGGCCTATTCTGAGCCTAATTCAACTGAAAAGATCAGATAGAGATCTGGAAATCAAAATGTTTCAAATATAATTAGTTTAATATTAGGAGTATGGTGTTGTGCCAATGACAATTTAGGAATAATTTAAATGTGTTCAGAAGATTTTGGAGAAAATGGAAAATTTCAGTTAAAATATTTAATAGCATGGCTTAATTTTTGAACACTATTTAAAACTATGAGTTTCTACAAAGGGAAGAAGCTGCTGCATAGGGTTAGAATGACCTGACAAGCTGCCTGCTTGATATTTGAGATGGTAATAAAATCAGTAGACTTGGAGGTCATAATTATGTAATACCTGGTCTGACTTCATGCTTACAACAGGTTAAGAGAAGAACATACTATCACTGATTTCATGCAATACTAGTGATTGCCAGGAAATACGTTTCATTCTGCCTTTTTATTTTACAGAGGAAAACAAGCTTTGCCTAATGTAACATCTGGCATTGTATTTTATTTCTTTACCTGATCAGGAGGCGGACAGTATAGACACTTATCCAATCGACCGGGTCTCAAAAGAGCAGGGTCAATCAAATCAGGACGACTAGTGGCTGCTAGTATATAAACTCCTAAAATCAAATTAAGAATATTTGTTACTAAAAATCTGCCAATCATCTTTCTGAAAGTATCAGACTTGAGAATGTAATAATAACTGTTTTTTTTTCTTATTTTGATACTTTGCTTGATTATATATTTTAATTGTTATATTTGATTTCTGATATGCCATACTCTCACACTCTGCCTATTTTTGTGTGAAAAGTTTGATCATGGCTATTCCTCTGAAAGTTGATCAGACTAATCAGATTCTGATAAAGGTTTATTTTCCACCCTACAGTCATATCATCCAAATTAATGGTGGCTGGGATTTCTTTGAATCTATGTATTAGGTTTCATCTCCAATTCCCAAATTCAGTAGTAATAATTGCCAGTGACTATAGAATATTTAGAATTAGAACTATTTATTAGAATTAGAATTATTAGAATTAGATTTTTTTATTGGTCAAGTGTGATTAGAAATACAATGAATTTGTCTCTGGTGCATAAGCTCTCAGTGTACATTCAGCAATAGTGATAGATCTTATAAGGCTGAGGAATAGGGACAGATTGGGTTTTTTAAACAATATAATGCCATTCTATGTTTTTCTTCAATTCAGGGCAACTCTTGGAAACGGCAAAACCTTTTTTTTTTTGTATAAAGTTTGTATAAAGATGGTGTTTGTCTTGGGTCCTGAGTCATTGAATTCTACTTAATGCTGAAAAAAAGGAAATGGCAAATCTTGGCATAACTACAAGGAACTGGAGACTCTTTTTATTTTATTGTTTTAAAGTTATTAAATAAATCTATTTACTGTATTTCTGTCTACAGTATATCTCAATGCAGCAAACCCCATGTCCAAGGTGGATGAATCTATACAGGCCTGGTTTCACTTTTCACATTAAAAAATTAATCTCTCAGGAATCTCTTGGAATAACAATAGCCCACAAACCCACATTCCTACTCAGGCAGGAACTTACAAAAATCAAAGACAGAACACGGAAAGAAGACCAGAACTAACATAACATACAGAATCAGTTGCAACAATTGTAAACCAGTTCTATGTTGGGCAGACAGGACGACAGTTAAAAACTAGAATTCAAGAACACTAGTTGGCTGTCAAGCGGCATGACCCAAAATCCCTGATCGCCAACAAACAATACGGTTTGATTCAAAGGAAGCTCATTGGCCACGTCAAAACCCGTCAAGCATGCGAGCATATCGAAGCCTGGCATTCTATCAACAGGTTCATCAACTTGACTTAAACACTGACTTAAAGCTAGCATACGGACTAATAAGGAAGTGGACACTCAAATCACTAATCAATGACAGAACTAATAGAGCTGAATTTCGTGCCTCATAGCAACCAGAAAGAAATCACAAGACCAGAATCAGTCTTGTGATTCAACCAGATTTGTGAGTCAATCAGTTTTGTGATTCAACCTTTCACAAGACCAATCGACCACCCAGGACCTATATAAACAAGACACTTCACCCAAAGCCCCACTGAAAATGTTACTTAGCAGATAGACTAAACTTATGTATGAAAGCTGCACTTGTGTTATTTAAATGTCTATTATATGCACAATAAGGATGAAAATTCACAATCCGAGTTGTCAATATTTGAACTGCTCCTCTGGTTATGAGATTTATGCTCTTCCTTTACAATATTAAATTCTCAGAAGGTTGCAAAAATTTTATCAATAACCATGGTTTCTAGAAACCACCTAATGCACCTTAATTACCATTTCAGATTTTAACAATGTAATTTTATTGTTTTATTTACTATATTTGTTTTACTTTGCTTTTATGATTGATTTTGGACAATGCATACATACATACCTTTTAAGCCTTCTACACCATCTAACTGAGTCAGCAGTTGATTAACAACTCGGTCAGTTACACCAGTGTTATCATGACCTCTTCGAGGAACAAGAGAATCAAATTCATCAAAGAAAAGTATGCACGGCTTGGCTGCTTGAGCTCTGCAATAGAAATACACTTCAGACTGAAGAAACAAAATATCATCTACCAAAAGTGAAAATGTGAAATTAGCAAAATCTGATACAGGCAGTCCTCGAATTATTACTGCAATTGCCCCCAGAATTTCTTTGCTATGCGAGACAGTTGTTAAGTGAGTTTTGCCCCATTTTACAATCTTTCTTAAGTGAAAGCATTAAGTTAAGTTAGTAACATGGTTGCAAAGTGAATTTGGTTCCCTATTGACTTTCTTATCACAAGGTCGTAAATAATGATCATATGACCCAGGACACTGCAATTATTATAAAAATATGCCAACTGCCAAATTTCTGAATTTTGTTCATGTGACCATGGGGCTACTGCAGTGGAGTACTGCAGTAGTTGTAAGTGTTAAAAATAGCCATAAAGTCATTTTTTTTCAGTGACATAACTGAGACCATCACTAAACAAATGGTTGTAAGGCCAAATACTAGCTGTATTTCATCTCTTTCATAAGCCCTCTTGCCCTGTCTTTCTCACATTGCCTTTTAGCAAATTCAGTGACTATTTTTTGCAATGATCATAAAAATAGACTCTGGAAACAACACTATATTACTGGACCCAACCTGTTAAATACATCACGAACTGCCTGTTCACTTGCTCCAATGTATTTGCTGAGCAGTTCTGGCCCCTGCAAAAAACAAAATGGTAAATGTTCCAAAAATCAAGTTATATAGTACAAGTGAAAAGCAATCGCACTAGTAAGTGATTTTAAAAATATAGTGATTTAAAATATTTCTAACACACTTTTAAATGTATATTGTTTTAAAATGTTTCTATCTCACTTTTCTGCTACAACATTCAAACTGTCAAGGATTCATACTTCTCAAAGATGATGAAAGAGGAATAGACAAGAATAAGGATTCTTTTGAATCATAAATATAATAATACTTTTACATTTTGAATTACTGGGATAAGTTAAAATTACTGAGAAAAACCAATACACAAAAGAAATTATAAAATTACATTTTATAAAATTAAGCAATAAATCTATATTAAAATAGATGTTACTCTCAATATTCTGCTGAGTTTTGCTGGCATGATTACAGAAAATTGCCTGTACAATTCCCTTACATTGACTGACTGATGATACGGAGCATCACATCACTGTCAACTCCTAGCAACCACATGATATTGTACGTGACAATATGTCCATAATTTTTGTCCAGCTATTTAAATGATATACCCATCGGCACACAATTAAGTCCATCCAGAATAGAATAGCAGAGTTGGAAGGGACCTTGGAGGTCTTCTAGTCCAACCCCCTGCGTAGGCAGGAAACCCTACATCACTTCAGATAAATGGTTATCCAACATATTTTTAAATTATCCAACATCTTTTTAAAATCCAATTTGCTGCTGGTCATCCTCTTCTTCTTTTTTCTTTCCCAGCATTAAAGCCTGTTTCAGAAAGCTAAATCTTTGCACGATGTTTTAAGGTAGAATAATTTAAGCTTAGACATTTGTGCCTTTAGTGAGAATTTTGAGTTTATTTGTTCCTTGATCCATTGGTTTGTTTTCTTGGCTGCCCACTGTATTCTCCAACACCAAAGCTCAAAAGCATCAATACTCTTCCAATCCTTCTTCTTCAAATCCAGCTTTAACTTCCAGAGTGTCACAAAGCTTCCATGACTCTGATCTTTGTAAGCATAGACACATCTCAGGATTTAAATTTCTTTCTCAAGGCCTTCATGGTTGCAATTCCAGAGGTGATCGCCTGGATAGCTAAACTGGACATCTATTATGAGGCCACTGCCATACCGACATGGAAGTTTTATTTATAATTATGTGGATGGTGTACATAGGTTTACTTCTCTTCTGTCATGTTTTCATCATACATTAAATAAATAAATAAATAATGGTTGCTATAACAACTGCTAGCCTGTAACCAATTGTTGATGCATGGTCCTTTCTTGTTAATAGTTGATTCCAAAAGGGAGAAGCTATCCATCACATCGATATTTTGGTTGGCAATTTTAAGGCTAGTTCTACCTGTTGTCCTTAGTTTGATCTTCTTTATATTTAATTTCAGTTTCATTTTTTCCCCACTGTGCATCTTGATGTTACTCCAGGTCATGGTATAATTAGTCCTCAACTTAAAATAGCAGTTGGAACCAGAATTTTTATTCCTAAGCAACATAGTTGTAAAGCATGACTTCATCGCTTAGAAACAGTCTCAGCTGCTATTGTTAACTGAATCTCTCAGCTGTTAGGTAAGGCAACTTTTTTCCAGCTTCCTACAACTAAAGTGAGCGGGGAAACTAGCAGAAATTGAAAATGCCAGGAAACGGGCATGTAACTGCATGCCTTCTAGGTTGGGGACAGAGTGAGGTGGTGCATTGCATACCAAGCAGAAGGGTGTGAGAAGGTGTGCAAGATGAACCATGTGGATTGGGGAGGGTGTGCGAAGGTCTGAGGGATGTGTGACTTGGAAGGGGCATATGAGAGATAGACCATGAAGTGTGCAGAGGATGTACAAGGATGTAAATGAGGCACTGTGTAAGGAATGAGTAGGGGATGTCTAGGAGTGTGTAAGAAGTGCCACAAAGGTTGTGGGGAGAGGTGTGTGAGTGGCACTGTGCAGGTTGGGGGCTGTGTGAAAGATGCTATGCAGATCAGGGAGGGTGTGAGAAAGTGCATGAGACGTGCCATGTGGTTTGGGCTGGGGGAGTGTGCACAGATAGGCGAGACTTACCCCAATGATTTGTGATCTTCTCCGCCCTTCCCTTTCCACTGACTTTTTGAGGAAGGTGACAGGGAGGGTTACAAATGCCAATCACATAATTGTGGGTGCTTGGCAACCTGGCTTAAGTGCAAACAGATTACCAAACAGCTAAATTGTGGTAATGCAGAGGTGTCAAACTGACAGTCCACGGGTCACACCCGCCCCAGCTCCACGAAGGGAAAAAACATTGTAAAACATCATGTTCGACACCTGTGTGGCAATGTAACCAATGGGTTGCTCGGACGACTACAACTCTGAAGACCAGCTGTAATGACCATTCATTCAGCAACATCATAACTTTGAATAGTTGCTGACTGGATGGCTGTGGGTTGGGGATACCCCTGTCTTCGGCCATCAGGGGAGTATTGTCAAAGTAGCACAGATCATTGATGTTTCTTCTTTTAGTTTTAAAACCATAGCTATCTTCTTCCAATTGACCCTCACTTAATATATATTTCACATATAGGATGAATGAATTAAGGATAATGTATACAGCTTTGTCGCATTCCTTTGCCAACCTGGAGCCAATCTTTCACCACAATCTATCTATATAGGGGTTTCCTGACCTGTACATAAAGTCTCTCACAAAGGAGAACGTTCTTAATTCAAAATTTAAAGTAAAATAAAATAAAAAAATCAAATAAATGCATTCTGTAACAATATCCATAACACCATCAAACATCCATATTTGCCTATGCCTGGTCTTTGAGAAGGATTTGATTGGCAGACAAAAATGCAAAATCCACTCTGAATATCTAGCTGACTGTGTGACAGGCCATAATAAAAATAATAAATAAATTAATAATTAATAATAAATTACAAATAAAACAAAAACAGTCAAAAAAATCCTCAAAGGGCTGATACAATGGATCGTGGATCTTTTTTTTGCCACCAATTTTCTATATTTCTAGCCTGACATGATTGCAATAAAAGGCCTTTCTATAATCACTGTGTTAATGTACCTTAATTGCATACACAGATAGCAAAACAGATTCAAAAATGCATCATGCAGATTTTTAGAAGGCTTCAGTTACCTGGCAAACTCTATATGCATTTTATTTGGAAGCCAACCAATTACACCTTAGCACTTTCAGGAATTACCTAAAAGTTCAATTTATTACCTTGATGCTGATAAAATTCATTCCACTTTCTTGGGCAACTACACCTGCTAATAATGTTTTTCCTGTTCCTGGAGCCCCATATAGTAAGATTCCTGTTCTTTGCCGTATGGGTAGATTAGCAAATAATTCTGGATACTGGAAATGGAACATATCAGAAGTATTATCTGCTTTTAAAAGTATAAAAACTCTGCCTACCACTCATTTGACTAATTGTTGTGTTTCTGTGGTTGCTACAGTATTTTCTAATTATCAATAGAATTAGCATAACGATCTCCATAATAGCAATAGCAATAAAACTTAGTCTTATATACGCTTTATAGTGCTTTACAGCCCTCTCAAAATGGTTTACAGAGTCAGCCTATTGCCCTCAACAATTTGGGTCCTCATTTTACCCACCTCAGAAAGATGGAAGGCTGAGTCAACCTTGAGTCTGGTGGGATTCAATCTGCCAATTTGCAGTAGGAATAGGTTGCAGTACTGCATTCTAACCACTGCACCACCGAGGCTCCTTAATAATAACAACAATAATAACAATTCTGGAAAAAAATTAGCTTCTTTTAAACAACTAGGACTCGTTTAATTTTATTTCTTTCAAGTGTAATAAAAATGTTTTTGCTTTCTATTGATGATGTTTTTTGAATTTATCTTAATGTGACTTAATGTGTATTATAATTATGTGTATTATAATTATAATAAACATTGCCCAATAATTATCAATTTCTTTATACAACATTTATATATATATATATATATATATATATATATATATATATATATATACACACACACACACACACACACACACACACACACACACACACACGTGCTCTTATGAAACTGTTGTTTCTTAAGCTAGAACATTTCAGAAATCTTTGTTATTGTTCCCTGACAAAATAGAATGATAAAGGAATTGCCTTGGATCTCAAAAACATAAATACCTTTGCAGGTAACTGGATAGTATCTCTAAGTATTTGCTGCATTTCTTTAAGACCGCCAATTTTATCCCAGCCCAAATTCTGAGGCTTATGCAGGTTAATGTTTCTCAAGGATATTGGGGTAAAACCTTGTATAGCTTTTTGGAAATCTAAATTTGATAGAACCAAATCTGTGAAAACAGAGAAGAACATGTGTTATGTTGGAATACTAAGCCACGACACACCAAGTATTTCTGAATATCTCATACAATGGAGTTTTTAATGATGGGTGAGTGGATGCCCACGCTTGTGCACAAAAATTGTGTGGGTGGCAGGCATGCACACCTGCTGCTTACACACATGCAGATATACAGAGATATGAGCTCCTGCTGCTCCCCCCCCGCCCCCCGATTTGCCAAGTCAGAAAAATTGAGGATTACAATAAATTTGGGCAGAGTCATACTTGCTTCAATTGCACCTGAGCATGGACAGCCTTGACTGAGCTGTTGGCACTGGATAGGACTGTGAATGGGAATACCAATGCTGGAATTTTCCTTCAACAGGTCTTGCATTTGAGGCCATGTCAAAGCAAAGCCAATGGTTTCTTTTATTAGGGTTCAGACAACTCTATTTATTATTTTGGATGGTTAAGACTCTACAACAGTTAAGGATTCCTTCTTACCCTACAATTTACCTGCAAGGTTTGAACAACTAAAATAGTTACAAGCCACTACTCCAGCAGTTAGGGAAAATGATATCATAGTTCCATTTATGAAAGAATCCAATATCTTTATATTTATGCCTCAATAAACATACAAATGCCATTTTACGTTATTTTAATTCTTAAACTTGCCAAGTAAACTGCAGGGACTTGTCCAGACAGTCTCCAAAAATTATGCATGACTGAATAGAAGAAGAAAAAAATCTTGCCTTTTATTTTCTATATTTAATGGCTTTGTGTTACAAAATCCCTTAAATATTTTAAAGTGCATTAGAATAAAATCACTGATCACATATACCTTCTTTTTTACAAGTTCCCCTCCTAAGAATGCATGAATGGATGGCACGATCAATTAACACTGTAAAATCTCTAGCTACGAATCCTTCTGTTTCCTTTGCAATTTGATGGAGATCAAGATCACAGAATCTCCCTAAACTGAAGTCAAATTTGTTTTTTATTATGGATTCAAGGATTTCATATCTTTGCCCCTGGGAAAAAAAAAACAGCAATTTTAGCCAGGAAATTCCTGAAAGCTTCCATTTTACCTCTATGCCATCTACAAAAAAAAATAAATGACATCGATTTTAAACAGAAGTAAAAGGACTAAATTTGGAAGCTGATAAAATGCAGCTCTAAACATTCCATATATCGTATTTCAAACTTCAAGCAAAATTAGTCAGAATAAGATTCTATGGTTTTAATTAACTTCTAAATGAAACTGAATTATGATTTTTACCTGAGTTGGAACTTGAATATGTTGAAAACATTGAAATAGATGAATTCCTTGAGTAGAAATGATGGAAGAATGTAGGGACTGCTCAGATAGACTTGTGGCAATATGTGCAACCAAACTGTGCATGGAAGTAACTTCCTTTATCATTTCTTTCAGAACTAGAATTTTTTAAAAAAGTTCAGCTTTTATGCATTCAAAGATTATATAACATACAATTTATGTGACAGTTAAATTTTACACAAGAACTTCTTAAAGTTCACTGTTTGTTCCATAAAAAGACCTCTGGCTTTGAAACTATGTATTCTGTTAATTTCCAATGGGCATTTGTCCTGTGTACCTACAACCCATATGGTATTTTAATTTTGCACTACAAAGAGATGCCGATATATTTTGTGCATTTATTATGTTGTCAAGAATAAATACAATGTATAGCATATCAATTATAATAGTCCTCAACTTAGAACCATGCATAATGGAGCAGATTGTATTGGATGCAAATCAGGACGGTCTTTAAACAAAGTACTCATGTCATTGTCTTGCTCACCATCTTGGCATTCCCAGGTGTGGTTGCTAAGCAGCCATGTAGGTCAATAAATAGAGGGAAAGAGCTGCCTGTCAAAAGAGAAGGGAATTCCTACACTGGGCTGGAAAAACGAAGCTTGGATTCTAAAGATTCAAGCTTCCTTTCACTGGCCAAAGACATTCTGATTATGAGAAAAAGATGATCTCTTCCTTACACAACTCATCATTTCAATACATAAGGGAGCTAAATTATCACCCCTCCCACCCTTTTCTAAAGGGATCATTCTGAAAGCAGGGGAAAATCTTTCTTCTGCTTCAGAAAGATCGGATTTCCTGGGAAGCTAGAATAAAGGATCATTCTGAAAGGGATGGGAGGGACAGGCAATGAATATAATTCCAGAAGTTGCTTATTTCCTAAAAGAATAAGCAACTCATTCTGATTTAACTAAGGAAGACATTTGGAATCAGATAGAAACATGCTAATATACTTGAATATTCTTAACAGCACAGGTTAAAAAAAACACCACAAGCCCCTTACCACGAGCAAGACAAGTGCTCTGGACTGCTTTAGGACTGTTCTCATGTTCTGGAGCAAGGGGAACACCCATTATATGATCAAGATCATCTAACAGAACGATCGACGGCTGTCTCCATGCTGCCTCTAGGAAGGCTTCTTCCAGCTTCTTCTGTACACTTTCTAATCTTTTCCCTGGAACAGTATGTATTGTCAGTGATCGAAAAAAAGTGGACCATTTCCCAATGCAGTTATCAATGTATCCTTATGTAACTTTGTTTCAGTTCTGGTTATATCCACAATTTTTAACAATACTCATTTACTAATACCCACCCAATTATAAAAAGACAAAATATAAATGTTAAACCTTCATTAGGACAGAAGATGTGAACTTTGGTTAAAGTCATATGGTTTAATATTGTTAAGTCTTAAGAACTGTTAGAGTGAACAAATTCTGGAAATTTATAGTAGGAAATGATAAGACAAGGCAAAGACAACTATTACCTCTTAAAGCTTTACAATCTATCACTTCCAAATGAGTATCAAATTTATCAAATGCTTCCTTACAAATGGCCTTTGCTAACGTTGATTTGCCGCTTCCCTGTAAAAGAAAATTGGGTTGAAACTACTTCCTACTCTAAGAAAATACATTCTAATAGTTTAATATAAATTGATAAAATGAGTAAATTCAATAAATTCAGAAATCTATAATCCTTTCAGTCACATGACTGGTCCACCAGCAAAATATCTGCTTCATTAAGCAATGGCAGCATTGTACTCAAATGTCTTGAGTTATTATTTCATATTATTTCAGCCTTTTAAATCTATTTTCCCATGATTTGTATCATTGCCTTTATCAAATAAATCACTGCAATCCTTCAGTTTGCCACCAATTAGTCAAATGGGGATATATCTTGTTCCAAAGAGACTTCAGAGTGCTTTGTAATGGGATTCTCCATTGACACTTGACAGTTTGTCTTATAATTTCTTATGATTTGCCATTCCTTCATCTGAAGAACCAGATCAGCTGCTGTTTTATAGACTGAGAAGATCTTCATTTATACTTTCTATGTAATGCAAATTCATTCCCTCATGTCTGCATTCCCTGTGTCATAGTAAGGCCTATTCTGGATGTTAAGAAAAGTTTGGAATCATATGAGTTTAATGAAATTTCAGATCCATGAGAACAGGCAGAGTTTACACAACTCAGGTTATGCAAGACCAATCATCATCTATATATTTACTACCAGTTTCATGGTTTTAGGAGAGATTCTAAAAAAATTTGCTATTCTTTATTGGCATACATAGAAGGATGCATAATAATAAATGCAGCAGAGAAATATATTTGTTATACTTTGATATTTAAGAGTCAAAGAACTGCATAAAATATTCCTTTAGAAGAACAAATTAAAGCAATTTCATGAACTGTCTGACATAAAAATACAAATAACAGAAATGAAAATGTCCTGCATGCTAAAAGGAAAATTAAAAGCTTGTTTACCTTCGCTCCAGTAATTAGGACACCACCACTGCATAGTCCAGCACAAAAAGGAGCTAGTTTTTGAGACAGAGGATGTATCAAGAGGCTATGTGATATGTGTTTCAAAGATGATAATCCAATGTTATCCACTCCACTGCAAAGAACAAAATTGAGAATTTCCATCTCTACCCTAATCAAGCTACGTATCAATTAATGTTTTCAGAATACTGTATAAAGCAGTCCAAAACCGTATGCTTACATTTATGATGTTACTGAATGTGAAGATGGTGAAAATTATCCACAATGAATATTTTTAAAAATCATCTTTTCATCATATTTTAAAAAAATCATCTTTTCATCATTCATTTCTTTCCTTTCTGTTGTTATTAAAATGACTCACCCTAAGTAGTTTAGATTGAACCATGGCAAAGGCTGTTCACAACAAGACTGGAAGTTACTACTGTTGAATCCTGAAGACACAGGATGTAACAAAACCTGCAGAAAGAATATACTGTTAGGGGCAGAAAAAGAGATAAAGGAGAAGCCACATTTATAATGATGTAAGTCCCATTAAATCCAGTAAGACTTATTTCTGATCAGTCAGAAATAATATCCTGGAGAAAATGTAATGATATACAATTACTTAAAAATAAAAAATAGCAATTATGTAACAACTCTAGAAGCATATAGTATAACACAAGAATGGGCATCATATTTTGAAATTAATTAATTAATTAATTAAGGCATATTTTTAAATTAATGGGGAGCTGTGATCAGTGATATCAAAACAAAGTGGGTAGAACCAACTTTGGAGCTCATTTTTATTTGGAGGAACTTATAAAATGGAAGCTGTCAAGAGCACATTTTTCTGTTAACTTTCATAAAGTAAGAACAATTGGCTTAGTTATGGAAAGTATCAAGGTTGAAATACTAAGCTTATGAAGACTTCACACACTGCCCTTTAATGTTCTTTATTTAAAAATGAACTGAAAATGTTGGTCTCATCCACACTGCAAAAAGCATCTGAAGTTTAGAACTGGAACACCGTTTACTCAGGATGAGTTTCTTGACTAAATTGACAGATGCACTAAAAATAACAATAAACACTTAAACATTGATGTGCAAACCTCAAATTACAATAATGTATTCAAAATAAGGTTCACAGTTCCTTGTTATTTCAAAACTTCGACTCTTTAGGTTATAACATCACATTCTTCCAAAGTGGGTAAAATGAGGATCGAAACTGTTGGGGGCAATACGCTGACTCTGTTAATTGCTTAGAGAGGCCTGTAAAACACTATAAAGTGGTATATAAGTGCTGTTGCTATTGCTATTTACCTGCTACTAATCACAGAACTATGGAGTCAGAAATAGCAAATCCAAAGATAAGATAAGATGGCAAGCTTAACTAAGCTAATAACTTGTTTCGCAAAGAAGTCTCTCCAGAATTCTCTTCAGATATTATAATGCATCATAAATTTATAGTGAAATTTAATATTTTATACAAAGATTTAAAAAATCAAGAAAATCAAGAAAAACTATAATCTTAAGTAAATTGCATTAATATTTTAAACTTTTGACGATCTAAAATTAGTTATATTTACTTGTATATTTGCCTTCTGCAGCAAGCTAGGGCTCAAAATGAAAGTATTTCTAGCTTTCTCTTCTTCAGGGTCAGAAGTGACTATAGTGAGGACAAAGTCTTCCAGGCCTTCCAAAATACAATAAGCATTAATCTGATTATTATTCAATATAAAATATGCCATACTTTAACTTCATATATCTAGTTGGTATGACAATGAGTTTTACTGTGTACATCAGGAGTCCACAAACTGTAGGCCGCGGCCCAGAACTGGGCTGCAGAAGCTGCCGGTGAGCAAGCCTGTGTAGGCAGCTCCAATTGTGCAAGCAATAGGTGAGTGTGTGTGCACACAAAGCTCCATTTGTACAAGCAGCAGGCGCATGTGCAGCTCTGTGCGCATTTGTGCTGCCCCGCTGCTTGCATGGAACCATCCCCTCCTCTCGCACCCCTCCACCTGTCTGCAAAGACGAGAAGATTGGGGACTGCTGGTATACTTCAGTATTTTTAGTTTTCCTTTTCATTAGTTACAAAAAAACCACAATTTTAAAGGACTAAATAAAGCAGAGGAAAAAAATTCTTTACTGTTAGATCAGAATGGATAGATCAGATTAGATGTGCTGCAATCAAATAACTAAAACATTAGCCATTTCCTTTGTAGCTTTTTTTATAAATTATCAAAAATATTTATGACAAGAGACATTTAATTATTAATCTAATATATTAGCTATAAATAAACTAACTGAAATCTAATTGTAATTGGCTAAATCTTTTAAAATTGATATATAGGAAAAACCCTGTAACATACAATAGTTACAACAGTAGTTGAATTTTGCTTACCAAAGTTAAGTGCCAATTGTAGATAGCTTGTTTCTGCTGTGATCAAGGGAAGCCTAATGTAATCCTCTAGCCACAACTTAAATGCACTTTTAATGTCTTCTTCACTTATTTCTCTATTCTAAAATGAAAAAGGATGAGGACTGTTAATTCAGTGATATTTTTTCTAATAAAAATGATTTTTATGAGAAGCTTTTCTCATTTTGTTACTCATTAGCTGATGGTTTACCAGTAATCACAACACTATCCACAAGTTGACCTCATTTTTGTTATTTTCTAAGGAACTTTGATGTCTTTTGAGGGGGAAAATATATAAATTTAATAGAATTCACTTCTTTTATATAACAAAATGACAATTTCAGGCATATTGGCATTAAGTTTCTATCAAAAGTGAGAAAGCCCTCAAGCAATCCAAGCATTCCAGAAATTTTATTCTAAATGTTTGCTCTGGAAACTAAGGAACAAAGAAACACTTGGATTTTTTCAGGGTATAGACTGAAATGTTGATTTTAAAAAACATTGATTTAATAGCTTTAAATAATGGGTACGGTATGGAATTGTAGAGAAATACAGTAAAATAAATAAATACAGCATATGAACTAACTTACTGATTTCTACCCACTCAGTTGAATTGAACATTTGGGACAATGGAACATTTGGGAGCATACTGCCAGAATTCCTGCCATGCTCCCTTTAAGAAAAAATCAACATAATTCTCTTCCCATACTAGAGAATTGTTAGTAAGAATTGGAGAAATACGGACAATTTGTGATTTGGATCATGTTGGATAAAAGTAGGAACAGAGAGCAACTGATGAATCATTGGTTTTCTGTGCCCGTGAAGCACTTTTGGAGTGTAAGCATTTACGACTGTTCAGTAAATTTAGCATTATAAATAATAATATCCCAATATTCATTTGATAAAACTTTGGAAAAAAGAATTCATTAAAAAAATTACAACTTTTAGGGAGGTTTAATCCATTTCAGAGTACACCAAAGAGATGGCTCATCATTAAGATGTTATATTTGAATAATTTGAGATTGAATGTGACTGAAGTTGCTAGAAAAATATAATTATCGATGAAACATTTGAACTGAGGAAAAGTGTATCAGAAATTAGTAAAAAATATAATTACAGGTAGCCCTCATTTAATGACCATTCATTCGGTGACTGTTGGAAGCTATGGTAGCACTGAATGAATCAAAGTTACAGCTGATACAAGTCATGTGATCAAAATTCAGGCAGTCTGCTTACATTTATGACCACACAGTTGCTTCAATTCCCCCCACCCATCTCATTTCTTTCTCCTATTGGCTGCCCTGCAGAGTGGCACACTTTGGTGGTAAAGGTGGCAGCAGCACTAGGGCTGAGGTAGAGGCCTATGGCCTTCAGCAGTCACATGCCTAGGCCTCTATTTCAGCCATCAGCACACTAGGTAATGTTACTTCAAGCCCCATGCTACCTTAAGCCCTGGCCACTCTATCTCTACTACGCAAGGACTTCGCTGCCCCTGCTGTCTTTGCTCCATTGGCCCTCTCATGACTTCTGCCATCTTCTTCCAATGCTGATAAAGCATATCTGGCCTGGACTTCTGTATGCCAGATCTTCTCCCCAAGGCCATGTCCCCTTCTTGTGATGCTTTGGAGATCCTCCAAAACCTCATCTTTTTAAAATCTTGTGTGCTTTTCTTCAAATCATGCAAATTTGCAATGCTTTGGAAGGTGGCTAGCTGCAGAACAGAACTTGAGGTGACACTCCTTGGTGGCAGTGTTGGTACTGGAAGTGAAGTAGAGGCCGAGGCACAGCAGCAGCCAGCTGCTGAAGGCCTGAGGCTTCTATTACAACCCCAGCACCATTGCTGCCACGGCGTGCTGTTTTCAGGATAGCCAAAACAGCAGAGATAAGCTCTATCCCCAGAGATGGGAAGAGTGGAAGCAAAATCTGTAAGTAGACAGTAAGATACTGGAAACAGTTTATCAAGTACTGTAATTAGGTCAAACTTACTAAAGAACGTTCAGGCTGAAGTCTAAGAGAGGTTGGAATTTTAGGATCTGAACTGATTGATGTGATTCTAACAGCAGCATGCATTTCTATATGTAGCTTCTTTCTCAACTGTTCAGGTATCTGAAATACAAAATAAAAATCACAAACAGTTCCTTCTTTAATATAGAAAAACTTTAATCCTTCATAAGATGTAGTCACTGATATAGTAATGAGATTGTGTAGAATCACTTAGGTGAGATGATTAGAATAGAAATTGAGAAATAAATTAAGACAACTTAAGATTTCGAAGCTATTCAAAGACTATAATTGTAGTTAAAATATTAATAGCTTTCTCAATTCTCTCAAGGAAAAAAAGAATTCCTTGCATGGTATCTTCCACCATCATTGATTTATTTGATCTGGTTTAATTATTTGTATCCCACTTTTATTATTTTACAAATAACTCAAGGTGGTGAACGTACCCAACACACCTTTTTCCTATTTTCCCTCAACATCAACCCTGTGAAGTGGGTTGGGTTGAGAGGCAGCGGCTGGTCCAAAGTCTGCCAGCTGGCTTTTGTACCTAAGACTTGAACTCACAGTCTCCAGCTTTTCTAACCTTGTGCCTTTACCAAACTGGCTCTCACATTATTTATAGCGATAATATTAACTTGTAATCGTATTTTTGCAGCAGAAATATTGCTTAGTGAAGCAAAACAAAAAAATACACTAATTTGTGTTTTGCTATTTTAATCCATTTTAACAACTTGATTTAGGAAGGTACATAAATATTTGAAGTAAATAAAGCAAACTAAATTAGTAGTTTTTAAACTGAAATTATTTGAATTATTTAAAGTTGGATTAGGATTTAATGCTCACTAACTACAAAAGAACCATCTTAAACATTATAGTTTGGAGATTGCTGCCCAGCACTTAACCATATTTTTTGAATAAGCACTAAAATTTAATACAGCTTAGTTTTCAGATAAAATATTTTATTCTCCAATGTGATGAGTCTAATATCATTCATAAATTTCACTAACCCAAATTCTTCCAACATGCAGTTGCTCCACATTGTTATTGAATGTTATGGCATCCTTCAGATCCTCAAAGCCATTCCATATTATTTGCACAACAGAAAACTCATTAGATTCTTGACCCTTACTCAAAGTAAATTGCTCTTGGTCTTCTGTATTAGACAGATGTTTCTCTTTCCTTGATGTTAGATGATACTTCAACTCTTGCATCTGCTGTTTTGGAGAAAGTAGTTTACTAATTTTCCCATAAGAAACTTGAGTATTAGCTTCTAAAGCAGAAAATACTTCATTCCACGGAAAAACAAAGACGGTGTTGCATTCCTGAAATGTGCATGTTTCCAGTGTATTTTTCATGCTGGGAAGCTGCCTCTGACATACTCTGAAAACAGAATCCACCTGAATCAAGTTTAACAGACGATTTTTAGCAGCGTTCAGTTCATCAATACCATTAGAAGGCTTGTGTTTCTTTTCAGAATTATAAAAGAAAATGTTCCCGAGTAAATTCCAAATGTTTGGGAAAATATTTGTACTCTGCGATCCCTTTGTGTTTGGTTGAT